TATGAATCCTTCCTAAAACATTTTCCTGATCCTCTGGCCACCGCAGAGGAAAATCAACGGTGCCCTATCTGCTGCATCGAACAGGGTGGATAGGGGTTTGGATGCTATCGTTCACGCATTCCCGTCCCCTTATTCCTCCTCTTACACATTTTCACACTTCATCTCATTCCAGCTTCACTTGTATCCGCCCTTGCTTTCAATGCCCCAATTCTCGGCCCACCGCCACCTTGCTTTGAATTCAGATGCGAACGCGGAGCGTTATTCCTGCTCTATCGACAAGCCAATGTCCAACCAAGCGGTCAAAACCAGTTCATCGTCTACCATTTGGAGCCCTCCATCCACCTTCAGATTGGCATGCCTCAATGTACGTACACTACTACAGATCGGCCAACAACCAGCACCGGCCCGAACATTAGAGACCCCCTCCATCGATACCAGCTGCTTATCGGAGACCCGCCTACAAGACTCGAGCTCTGTGCTCACTTTGCGATCCCCTTCAGATGACACCAACAGCATTTTCCCATTGCGTCTATTCGGTGACGGTGTAGATTCGAGTATCGGCAAAGCCGATGTAGGTATTGCCCTTAGTTCCCACGCTGAAGCTCCTCTGGTTGACTAGATTCCAAACAGTAGTCGGATTTCTTCGGTCCGACTAGCTGCCACCTTCAAAGCTACGAAGTCCCACGGGACTAACAGGTGACTATTGGTCATCGCTGTCTACGCGCCCACTGTAGCGATGATTCGGGAAAAAGGACTTCATCCGCCAAATGAAGGAGCTCCTTGGCCACAAGAAGCACGGATATTGTTGTGCTTGCGGGAAAATTATCCACTGATGAACTGCATCTGGGCGGCCAAGATGGTGTAGACTCCCGTAATGAGAACAGTGAGCGTATACTTTATTTGTGTGAAGATGCTCGCTTATTTCTTGCGAGCACTAACTTCTGACACAGCACCGGCCGGAGGATGAGATGGGGCACACCAGCATCGAATCAGCCTTGGACGCAAATCGATCACATTGCAAGCAGTTACCGCTGAAGAGGCTGCGTCCAGAACTGTCGCTCGGTTTGGAGCACATGTGTAGACACCGACCATGCACTTGTATGTGCTGACATACGGATGCGCTTTGGCGGACGCTCAGGACGACATTGTGAGCGCATTGACATCAACCAACTGACGAAGCCAGCTGTTCTGAATGCGTATCGAAGTACGCTGACATGCGGGTTGAGTAAGCGCTCACGGGAGACAACTGAAGGTCACTGGTCGCATGTTCACCAGATTTTACTAGCATCAGGCAAATCCTCATGTGTTAAGTCTAATCGCCAACATGGACATTGGGTCTCTTCGCAGTCTCTGGAAATAATCGGTGCTTGTCGACATATTCGGGCTGGAAGCGAACACAAGGAAACTCGCAAAGAGCTCCGGGCAAAACTCCGTGCTAGCCTGAAGAGAGACCGCGAAACTTGGTGGTCTCTTCGTGCGTCAGAGACGGAAGTGGCCGCTGCCCTTGGTAACCATACAAAGCTATTCCGTCGGATACAGGAAACGGGCGGCACGACACCTGGTGTTAGTGAGACTATACGTGACAAGAGTGGACAGCCTATCCACAACCTGTCAAAATGCTTGGAACGTTAGGCCAAGCATTTTGAAAAGCAGTTTAATCGGCCGGATTTGTTCGATTCCTCACCGGCCACTGATCTCCCTGCTCCCTGGGCTGTCCCTTTGGATCCGACCTCTCACTCAGAAGTCAAACGTGAGATCGGACTGCTGCAGCCGAACAATTCCGCGGGACCAGATGAGCTTCATCCAACTCTGCAAATTCGTGAGCCCTGCTCTTGTTGATGATTTACACGAATTACTAGTGAAACTGTGGGAGCAGGAAACTATACCAACGGACTAGAGCCGCTCCGTTATTGTTCCCATCTTCAAATGAGGCTGGTGTTCGGAATGCGGCAACCATAGAGGCATCAGTTTGATCTCGATCGCCTCCATAATCCTTCACAGACTGACTGGCACTCGTGAAAGCCAGATTTGTGAAGAGCAAGCCGGGTTTCGTCGAGGTCGTGCCCACATCGACCACAACTTCCTTTTGCGTCAGTTGTTGGAGCACCATCACACATATTGGCTGTCCATCGTAGTCGTGTTCCTCAACATCAAAGGTGCCTTCGATTCGGTGGATAGATGTGGCCTTTGGGACTGTCTACTCAGGAAAGGTGTCCGAGAAATATGTAAATATTATCCGAGCATCATACGCGCGTAGCACAGCCAGAGTGAGGATTTAAGGTAAGCTGTCGCCGCCCTTTAATATCTCTAGCGGTGTGAGACAAGGATGCCTGTTGTCACCTTTCCTCTTCAAGTTCGTTATTGACAAAGTCATTGAGATTGCATTCATAGGACACGACTTAGAAGATGTGGAGCTGCTCCCAGGTAAACGATTTCTTGACTTGGAGTATGCAGACAATATTGCCCTCATCTGTGACAGCTTCCAGACGTGACAAGCTGCACTGGATAGATTAGCAATGGCTGTCAGCCGCTTCGGTCATTTCTTTGCACCCTTGAGGTGCATAACTTTCCTACAAGATTGGCCTCGATCGCTTCCAGCGCTGACCTATGCTGCGGATCAGCTAGAAGCCGTTCACAAATTCAACTACCTGGGAAGTTATATCAATGCCGTAGAGAAAATGCTCGAGGCTCCCGCGACTTGCGTGGTTTGCGCGCCGGAGGTGTGGGTGGAAGAAGAGGAGAGGTGGCCAAGCGATGACTTGATCGAAAGGAATGAAGGCCCTTACTTCTGAGCTGGCCTCGGTTGGAGCGTCTCTGCTCCCTGGTTGGGGACCGAAGGACGATGAACACGTTTGACTAGCAACACTTGATGACATGGCTAAGAGCCGACTTTAATAGCGTCCGGGCTGTGAGTTTCTTTGTCCCACCCCATCCCTCTTAGCTGCCCACTCCATCCACGATCTCACTTCTTAGCCTAATATAATTTTGCATAATAAATACTTTTTGTTGCCTAGTAGCCAGCTGGTAGCTTTCCGGAACGATGTCCATCGGTTGTTGGTAGCACAGCTGGCATGCATGTGTTGCAGTAGCTGTGTTTCCCACCTCTAGCCAACGTGTATAATGAATGAATGAATGAGTGTTTTGAGATCGTAAACTTCTTCTACCCAGTATTAGTTATAGAGAGATCGCAACGATGGGGAATGAGCGCTTGTCGGCCTACGTTTTTCTAAATCCCTTAAGTCACAGAACGATTACCCACTGACAACTTTAAGCACCTGGTCGGTAGAGTTATTGTGTTGTACTTTTATATTTTCCGTTCTAGTTTCAAGAGGTATGAGACATCAGGGCATCTAGGTAAGCATGTCTAACCGCGAATGGAGATGGTCTCTTGACTTCCGATATAGGGAATCGTTTGATATGCTAACCGGCAAAATGCAAAACCAGAAATCGGCAGCGTAAATCTGTATGAGCAGAAGCGACGCGCGTGCTCAAAAAGAGCGTAGTTAGGAAGGGAGCCACGTCACCTGAAGCACACAAAAACTTGACAATTTGGGTTTCTCGATGACTACCTGCTGTGAGACCCCGGCAATAGATCCGCGTCCTTTGTAGCTGAAGGTAGTGTTGCTTTGAAATAGTCGACAAGCCAATTACAGGTGTGATAAACACTCACCAATGTCCAATCGGTCGGAATTGAGCCCGAACATCCAGCTTTTATTAAATTTTCGAATAGCGTAGAGAACACACATTCACGTACCCTGCAGGTAGAAATACGGCTGCGCTGGCAATCCTGCGTAGTTTTTAACTAAGCAAGTGGTAAAAAGCACACCTGGCAGCATCAGCACGGTATTCGATTAGGGTAAGTGCAGCACCCATGAACAAACGAATCCTAGTGTCGCTCCTTGCTCTGAATTGGAATAGAAGTCAAATGAGCTGCTTATAGATGGCTATCTACGAAAAACCGACCAATCAACGAGGAGAGCCCAGCTACTAAGAACGATGTCTAACCCCAGCCTGAGGTGCTTTCTTCTTCAGAATCTCCGAGCGCATGCAACCAATAACGAGAGAATAAGTCATGTGTAGTGGGCTTGATTACCACGTGAGGGTAATGAATTTAGGTCTCAAACACGTATTTAGTGTATGCGCAAACACCACCTACTGGTATACTTGTCTGTAAGTACGAACATTGAAGGTAGTCACAGGAGCAGGTCAACATAGCCTGATAAGCGTCTTTTGATGGCTGGAAAGTGTTGCAGGCTGTGATAAAAGGTGTGTAAGAAAGAAATCCAAAACAACCGCAGCTGCCACCGCTTTAACTGGGAACGATGAAATGAAATTTCTTGAGAGGTGTCGGGAGTTTAAGATCAGTAGATGGAAAAGTAAAGTGAAATTAGTGGTATCTTGCTCCCGTACATCCAGCCTGCCGTACGCCAAATCAGGAGAACTTTTTTGAAGCTGTGTGATGTCCGATGAAGGACGAGTGTGGAGTTTATTGGAAACGTTATGGCTGCGTGGATTGGGATGTAATTATGGCAGTTTAAAACTAGGTAGAAGAAAGGTTAGGGTCCTCACTCAAAGTCTTTGAAGCAAAAGTACATCCGCGAGACAACGCGGATACGGTAACGGTCCACGAGGTGGTCCAGCTTCATAATAATAGTAGAAACAATCTCAGTTCCAACCTCCAATCAATAGCACCAGCAGACTGAATTTTTCGGTTTTGGAGCTGTTGCCCGAGTCAATAGAAGAGGACACTAATATGCTCAAAAGCGCCCCTCAAGTAGGGCTTAATGCATAAGAGGGACATGTGAACCGTAATGGCATGCGAAGTTCCGGGTGCTTTATGATGGTCGATTTTGTACAGGAGCAGTAGTTTTAAGGCGTGTCAAATTCAAGTAGAGCGCAGGCATCGAGTTGGTTCACGTAAATACGCTGGAAAATTTGATGGTATACATTTGCAGTTCGGAATACGTGCACCCTTCTGTTCAAGAGCCACAAAGACTTACCATGAGTAACACACGTCCGGTTTCTTCTCTGGCCTTCCATTCAGCCCACCACTCGGCATTTGACGTTCTGCAAGCCACCATGAGGCACGCTCCAAGTGCAACCGTCGTAATTCGCGTAGCAAGGAGAGAGAACCTATCACGCAGTACGCCTGACCTGCGTGGGACTCACTGCCCGGTTTGGTGCCGAATCCGCCATCTAAATTTTGGCACCGTTCCAGGTACGTCGCGCAGGCGTCCTTGTTTAGGTGACCAAGTTTGATACATTCATCCAACCGACCCAGTAAACATAGTGAGGCGATCGCACAAAATGAAAAACGGGTATCAACCTCACCCCATTCGTCGCCCCAGAAGCTACCGTCCGGTTGCTGTGAAAGAGATCGACAACAGTGAAACCATTGGTCAAATAACGGAGCAATTTGCCCAATGTAGAAGCTTTCTGAAGTTATGGGCCAGTGAACTGCCACGCAATACAGCCAAGTACGGTAGGTGTGAGTTAATACTTGAGCAATAGGGAACGGCGAAAATAGTTGATACAATGGAAAACGGCATAGAGAAGCCTGAAAATGGTTCGGACACGACGCGAAAAGTTCCAAGCTCAGAAAGGTGATAGGTTTTGTGTACAAATCAGTGTATAAATGCAGTGTCCCTGTTTAAAATGACGATGGAACTCAAGGCTACAGATATTAAAACAAACTGAAACATCAAAGACGGGAAGTGCTTCCAATGGCCGTGGGAGCAGTAGCATTCAAGACAAACAGATGGCGGGAAATCCAGATACCAGAATCCGCAATACTGAGAGAAAAAAATGACGACTGATGTTATCCGTCCATAGCAAAGAAAGCAACATGTCAGCTTAAACATCCAAGTAAGGAACTGGATATAAAGGAATCATCAACTCAGCAGCTAATGAACTCATCGTCCGTGCCAAGTTGGTTGCACACAGCCAGAGATGTGAAGTTGAATAACCGAACCAGACTCATCACTGTGAAAATAAGTGGGTAGACCGGGCTTTGTAGGAGCAAGCTATCGCGCGAGTAATTATCAAGTACTAGAAGCGGCAGAGAAGTTATGCCTGCACGACGTTCATACACACTGAGTAAGAAAACGAATGCGGATAATCGATGGGCAGTTAAGCGAGGGAAGGGTCGTGTTAAACTTTCTCTCCTCTATACTATTTTCGTTGAAGTAATCAGGTTCCCCACAAATTTCGAACCCAAATCAAACTCAAAAGTCGATGACGTCGACGGAAACAGATGGTAGAGGAAAAGCTACAAAAGCGGTACACATGAAAAGCGACACACATTTATGGGCTAAGTTAACGAATGGAACAATTGCTTGGTTTAGCAGTTTAGATCCGTATCAACCCATGAAGTGGTAGGTGCATGCGTTGCCCGAGGGACTTGAACATTACCGGAACGGCTTGATACTTCTGCTGTACATTGTTGGTTTAAATCTTTTCAAAGGAAATAGTAATTTCCCGGGGGAGGATAAGCTCACACCCCAGGACATAGCAACATGGCGACGACAGACCATGGGACTAATTTGAGTCCAAATAAAGCTGATCCTGGTGCACGTGGATGATAGCAGAGGTGCCTACCAGATAAAATGACTAACCAAGACTTTTCGCGACTACATCAGCAGCAGCAACAGTATGAAAAGTTTTTCTGCGAAGAATTGACTGGAAAACATGAAAGAACAATAGCCCATAGACTGCGAAGCCTATACAAAGATGGATGGCAATATCATGACGCAACTCGTGGTTCCATACTTCCTCGGGTGCACGGTCTGCCGAAAGTGCATAAAGGGGTTTTGTTGCGTCCAATCCTTTCAACGGTGTGAGCGCAGTACCAGAAATGAGTACCATGGCCAACCGAGTTAACTGAACCTACCACCCGACATGAGTTGAAAATGCGTAGAATAGAAGACTAGTTTGAATTCGTTGGCATTATTCGGAATCTAAACGTGAATGGTAAGCGAATGGCATCCTTCGATGTCTGTTCTCTACTTACAAATGTCTACTTAGAACAGACACTAAATAGCATTGACAGTTTTCAGCACACCGACAAGAGAACGAAGTTCGTATTTGTAGCAAAGATCTTAAAATGTGTTAAAGTAATCTATCGATAAATTGAAGATGCAGTTGTAGCGAACGCAAAGTAGTACAGAGAATTTAGATACCAGAGAACCCACGTCTAGATGACATAATAGTTCGAACATAGAAACTCGGGTTCAATTGCGCACTTATTTCGTGGTACCATTTTGACTCCCATTCCGCTGCACACCACCCACAACGTGGCGGTGGTGATTGATTTGTGCGCTACGCGGCGTTCGTCTGTAGCGATCCATTATTTTTCTGATTTCCTCACGTCTGCTCGGTTATACACCTACTACTCATTAGCATTAAAACAAACGCCTCTCCCCCAAGAGTTTCCGCAGAAGTCGACCTTGCAAGCATCCTCTCCGGCCTTCGAGGAAACTCCATGTATGCTGTGGTTTCTTCGCCGCATTCGTACTACTTCCGCATTTTGATAGCGTGGAAGTGAATGCGTCATACGGTCCCTTCCACTTCGGCAGAAGCTTCTGCTCAACTGGGCCACATGCGGTCACACGTGGATGATCTCTGTACTTCACCTTCGAACTGACTGGAAAGTCGCCGGACAGCTTTCTCATGTCGAGTAGAAATGTTTTCATCATCCGGTCCTGATGTGCCCCTTCTGTTCTGTGTTCCCCTTCGCGGCAACTGGCAGGTCGGCCACACTCCCATCTTCAGATCCACAGCAAGTTGATATCTGCGACCACATATCAAATGGTATGAAGAACTCTTGATGGTTGCTTGCTTGGAGGTCTGGTGAGCTAAAAAGAGTAGTGGTAAAACATCCACTTAATTTCCCCTCCTTGTCTCCAGTCATTCTTTAATCGTTCTATTATTCCTCTACGTCAATCCGTTTGGCTGGGGATGGTACGGAGTAATTCGGGTTGTTGTGATGTCCAGTTTCTCCGAACATGTCCGGAACTCATCAAAGCATGAGCTCTGATCTGTCAGTGTGACCGCGATGCCGTGGCTCGCTATCACAAGTTGCACCACGACATGTGTTATCACGCCAGCCAGTTCATCCGTAACTGCCGCGGCGTCATCCCAGTGGGTGAAGTGCTCGATTATCACGATTATGTACTCGCTGCCTCGTCTTGTTAACGGGAACGGTCTCATCACTTCTGAACACAATTTCCCAAACTCAGACAATGGAATCGAGAGCATAGGTTGTGGTGTTGCTTGATTGTTTCCCTTCACGAGCAGACACAGACAACACGAGAGCACGTAGGTGTCAGGCCAGTAAGCTCGCTGCCTAAGCAAATCATATGTCCTGGTGTACGCGGTGTGAACCAACTGGTGACAAGAGGTCACAAACTTTTTCCTTCATTTTGGTGGGAACACTTCACCGGGTTAGAGTCTTGTCCTTGTATCCATTTCCGAATTCTGGTTTTGTTGACATGTAGCTTTTCCAGACTCCGCGCGAAAGACCCGAATTGCTGGCCTTGGTTTTGGTTGCCGCAGCTTGATTGATTAGTTGTGCTGTTATCACCATGTTCAGGAACCTGTCATTTCGTTGTTCAACCGCCAACTTTTCCGGATCCCGCTCCAGCACTAAACCACTGACACCGAAGGCGACGCTTTGTAAATCATCCTCGTTGGTCATGCGCGATATGTGGTTTGTCGTAAAGTATTCTTGTAGGCGCAGCGCTAATCTCGCCAACTCTCCTCTGGGATCTTTGGAGGACCTAATCCATTCGTAGTTTGTGGTCGGTCTTAAGAGAAAACCGTCGCCTCAGCTAGGACAGCAACCACTTGTCTAGCCTTCAAACAATTTCCAGACAACCCTTCTCCACTCCCGAATACACGCGTTACAAATGGTGTTAAGATTTTGATAGTGAATTCGATCGTCTCCAAATTTTCTTTCAGAACCGCACCGATTCCGAGGTCGCTTGCGCCTGTGAGCATCGTGAAAGATTATCCGTAGGTGGTTGGCAACTACGCTTGATTCTATTAGAAAAATGATGGCTCCTCATCAGCTTACGGACACGTTCCAGTTCGTTGAAAATGTAAAAAACAGGAACATATGTTATTGAATGTTTTCTTTGGAGGTCGTCTCGCTGCTTACCAATGTCCCGCTGCTGGAAACAGTCAATTCTCTTTGTGTCTATGTTGACTAGCACGAGATATCAACTATCCACCCAAAGCAGCCGTTACTCACATGCACCAATAACATCCAATTTCAATTCAACAATGGATTATACAGACGGAGTAGCTATGGGATCACTTCCCGGACCAGTTAACTGATGTCTATATGGGCATGCTAGAGGATGGCCCACTACAACTGACTATTCCGAGCTCATGTTTCTAGTGACGTTATCTGGACGACATAGTCTGTATAGGCGATGAGACGGATCACTCAGATAGGATTAAATAAGAAGCCATACTGGACAGGGCTATACACGCATTTCCAGAGCTTTGTTCAACTAAGCCGCAAAGGAACAATGGTACATACTCTGACAAACCGTGCATGCAAGATCTACAGCGAGGACACAATGGAAGATGAACCAAGGCGAGTCGAACAAACGCTTCTGGAAAAAGGCTATACAGAACGTTTCATTGACGTTCATATGTAGTCAAGCAAACCGAGATCCACTGTGGAAACGGTTGAGAAGAAACAGCAGTGGCTCCAGCTTCCTTTTAAGAGTGATATGGCGGCTGAATTATGTTCAAGACGACTGATAGGAACTTGCAGCGCGACTTTTAACGCAGCGCGACTTAACGTCGTCTTTACGAGCAAAGATAAAGTGTCTGATCAACTCCAATCAATGGTTATCTACCGGTTCACCTGCTCCTGTGGGGACAGAAAGGTTGGACACATGACTAGACACTGGAGAAGTTGAATCAAAAGGAATAGTTGTCGAGTCCACCCATTAATCAGCGGGATAGAGCTAAGTTGAGTACAATAACAAACCAGCTGATTTGCACTGGGAATCGAATGGATAAAAGTACTGCTTTCGAAATGTATAGAGTACCGCCGCAACTAACTCACCGGTCAGGGAGCGCGGCAGCTTACTACCGCTGAAGCAGTATGCGTCAAATTGACCAAACCTAAACTATGCATGCAGAAAAAAACTCGTCAACGCAGTGCAACTACTTTGGCCAGCGGCCAACCGAGACTAATGGGATCTTGCTCAACAGCACCACGTGCCTTCAGCACTTGATCAACAGTGGTGTGTCACGATAGTCGATTAATATTTATCCAATCAATAGCCAATTTCTGCACCTGCTATCGAACTATACTTTTCCCAACGTATATTTATGTAGTTAGCGTGA